TTTTTTTTTTTTTTGAGTCGGAGTCTCACTCTGTCACCCAAGCTACAGTGCTGTGACACAATTGTGACCACCGCAGCCTTGACCTGCTGGGCTCAGGCAATCCTTCTCAGTAGCTGGGATTCTAGGTATATGCCACAATGCCCGGCTGATTTTTTTGGTTTATTGTAGAGACAAGGTCTCGCCAAGTGCCCAGACTGGTCTCGAACCTCTGGCTCCGGCATTCCTCCCACCTAGGACTCCCAGAGTGCTGGGATGACAGGCGTAAGCCACACTCCCAGCCTGCCCTTTTCTTATGAAGCTGCCTTGACCTGTTTGTGGACCCGGTGGACGCAGCCTCACATCACTCGCACTGTGGACGTCACTGAGGAGCTGTTGGTCACCCCTTGGGGTAGTTGAACGCCTCATTGTCGCAGTCTGGTTCTGGAGACCCGTGTCTCTGTCCCTCCTTTCCTGCTCAGCTCTTCCGTATTCACACAATGGCCATATCCAAGCCGGCCTGGGGCCTCAGAGGGGTGTCTATACATGGGTTTCGGACCCTCCCAGCCTGTGTGTGTTTTCTCAGTACCACTGGGTGGCCTTTCCCCAGAGTCGCCTGCCACTGAGGGGTGATTCCTGACAGCCCACAATGACACCAGTTGATTCCACACCAGAGTCTGATCACTGTGCCCTCCAAGGGCCGTCCTGGCTGTCAGGAAAGCCAGCCCCGTGAACAGTGCTCTCATGGGTTTCCTTGCCTTTCCTACCTGGGCTCTTGGTTTTGTTCTTACAGTAAAAGTCGCAGGTTCATCGATTTTTTTTTTTTTTAATCTTTCTGTTGGCCTCTCCTAAAATGATCTGTCTTCTTGACAGTTTTGAAGACTGACTCTTTCAACAAATGAGAGCTTTTCCAGTTCCAAGTGTCCACGTTCTTCTGCTCACTTCTGTGCTTCATGTCTTCACTGTGGAAGGGGGGAAGCGCTGCATCCTGGGATTGTGGTGAGGACGGAGTATAGACGTGAAGCCCCTGGCACGGAGTGGATGCCAAGCGCCCCTGGGGTCCGTTTCCCCCCTGCCCCTTTGCCCCCAAGGGCCTGTCTTCTCCACTCTGAGATTCTCTGGCCAGCACTCAGGGAGGCCATCAGAGGCCACCGGGCACTGAAATGTGGGGGCCCACGCCAAGAGGCAGGAGAATCAGCAGGTACCAGGTCTCAGTGCGGTTCAAAGAAGGGAAACGTCTTGTTCATTCCATGTATTGGTCACGTGTCAAAATACCAACCCTCTGTACTCGGAGACACCTTACAGCCACTCAACCGCACCTTTTCGCGAAATAGTAAAAAGCAAATCACTACTAAATAGTGTAGTGTGGGAGCCAGTTACTTTATTGTGATGACATTTGGCTTATCATGGAATTTTGGACGTTGAGAAACTTATTTATGACCAAAAAAATCAAAACTTTCTGCCTGATATTTTTCTAACATGTGGTAACATGTGAGACAGTCACGTGTGAACCTGCATTGCAGGTATGGATGCATGTTGTGCAGTAGTCACTTATTGGACATCTTCCACCTGGTGTCATTCTATTTGAGCAGACTGTGCAATCTCGCGTTCTTCCTCCCACTGTAATAGCATGTGGTTTACTGTCTGCTGTTCGAAGACAATGTGAAAGAATATTCTCCTTCTCCATAACACCAGCTGATTTTTTTTTACCTATATCTCAGTATATATTCTATCTCTTTTTTTTTTGAGTCAGAGTCTCCCTCTGTCACCCAGGCTAGAGTGCAGTGGCATGCTCA